GTACACCTGAAACTAACACAACACTGTAAATCAAAAAACCAAAAATAAAGTCAGGATCCACGGAAAAAAAATCACTCTCTTCCAGTAAATGCCGGCATTCTCCACCCAGATGCACAAACCACTGTCATCGCTGAAAACTTCATTTATCTCAGCCTCATATCCCATCTATCACCAAATCCTGTTGATTTATTTCCTGTTATTTATTACCTTTCAAATATGACTCCTTTCCATTTAAACACTACAACCCAGTCCAAACTACTGATACCTCTCACCAAGGCCACCGCAAAGGGCCTACTGATAAGACTGTGCTGATCAACTGTGTCCTTCCTCCAAACATTCTCTGCATTTCAGCCAATGTAGATGTGATCATACCAAGCCCTGCTTAAAACCCTTCAATGGTTTCCCATGGCTTTTACACAAACTCCTAACACGGCCTACACTTTGTGTAACTTGCCCTTACCTATTGTCTTCAGCTTCATGGAGAATCTTGCTCCCCTAGAGGGCCACCCTTCGGCTATTGTCTCACTGTGTTTTTTTTTAATGTGAAAGAACATTTGCACATGCTGCTTTCTTGGTCTGAAATGCTCTTCTTTCCTTTGATTAGTTAACGCCTCCTTCAGATTACACATCATCTGCTAAAGGAAGCCTTCTCCTGACATTCCTGACCAGATCAGGTCCCAGCACCACAGGCTGCCACAGCCTCACATACCTAGCCTTTGTAGACTTGTCACAGCTGCAATTTTACATTTCTTTATACAATTTTTTGGTTTATGCTGATCTTCTCCATCAGGTAAACTTCATGGGAACAGAAACTATGATTGCTTTGTATTCTGAGTGCTTGTCATATGTTAGATGCCAAGTTAGTATATGTTGGATGAACGAACAAATGAAAATGAATGGATAAAGATCCAAATTTGTTGAATTAATGCACTTTGTCCTTTTCCAGAAGGCTTATATTTGCTCTCACCGAATATACTTTATATAAATATTTTATATACATAGAACAGGTTCTATACATTGGTAAGAATTTTATTATACTAATATTATAAATATGTTATCATCACAAAGGTTAGTTATTGTTATTATCATTGAATTCATTCCTTGTGGCAGAAACTATTTTCTGGTTACCTCTAAATCCATTCCTAAACACCTGTCCCTTGCCTAACTCCGTTATAAAAGCTGGATAAAATCAAATTCATACTTTGTTTTGCTTTGTAATTATGGCCATGAGACACAGAGCTGGTTAGCGAAATGTAAGTGAAAGTTTTCTGGGAGGCTTCTGAAAAGGTACTGATTTCCTGAAAAAAAGGAGAAGCTTTTGCATTCCTTTTCCCTTTTTCCTCATATGAATATCAATGTGATGTCTGGAGTCACAGCAACTATATTGCAACTATGAGGAGAAGACAACAAAACTGCAGAGCCACTGAAACATCAAAAGTGATCACCTACTTCAAGCTTCCTTGTTAAATGAGAAAAGTAAACCCTTCTTTCCTTTTTTTTTTTTTTTTTTTTTTTTTTTTTTTTGCGGTACGCGGGCCTCTCACTGTTGTGGCCTCTCCCGTTGCGGAGCACAGGCTCCGGACGCACAGGCTCAGTGGCCATGGCCCACAGGCCCAGCCGCTCCACGGCATGTGGGATCTTCCCAGACCAGGGCACGAACCCACGTCCCCTGCATCGGCAGGTGGACTCTCAACCACTGTGCCACCAGAGAAGCCCTAAACCCTTATTTTCTTTTCTATTACTTGTATCTAAAAACATTCCTGATATTCTGCTAACAAGATTCTCTTCCAGACAAATTACCTTACATTGCCCAAGATATTTTTTCGTTCTTTTCATTTTTCTCTTCTTTTTATCTTTTTTCTATTGATGAAATTTCTGTCACTCCTCCTAATAATGTAACCAAAATAAAATACCTAGTATTTTTTCTTAGGAAATAGAAAATTATAATGTTAAAAACTAAATAAATATTTTTAAAATTTATTATATTGAGTTCATTTACAAATATATGGAGATCAAAATAACATCTGTTTGGTGATATGGCATCAAATATTGGGCTGGCCAAAAAGTGTCTTCCGTTTTTAAGTCAAAAGAAAAGACACACTTTTCATTTTCACCAAGAACTTTTTTTTTTTAATTCTTATTTACTTATTTTTGGCTGCATTGGGTCTCCGTTGCTGCACGCAGGCGCAAGCTACTCTTCGTTGCAGTGCACGGGTCTCTCACTGCGGTGGCTTCTTTTGTTGTGGAGCACGGGCTCTAGAGCGCAGGCCCAGCAGCTGTGGCGCACAGGCCCAGCTGCTCCGCAGCAATGTGGGATCCTCCTGGACCAGGGCCTGAACCCGTGTCCCCTGCATTGGCAGGCGGACTCTCCACCACTGCGCCACCAGGGAAGCCCTCACCAAGAACTTTATTGAACAACATATTTACTGTTTTGTTCCACTACCTTCTGCCATTTTTCAGTCAACTTCATAATTCCATCTTCCCCCAAATTTTTATCTTTTTGAGCAAAGAACTGTTTATAGTCTTCCAGGGAATTTAAATTTTTTCCTTTAAGAGAATTTTGTAAAGACGGAAATAAATGTAAATCTGAAGGTGCAATGTCTCATGAATACGGTGGATGAATTAGAACTTCCCAGCCAAGCTGTAACAGTTTTTGCCTGGTCATCAAAGAAACATGTGGTCTTGTGTTAATCCTGATGGAAGACGATGCATTTTCTGCTGACTAATTATGGACACTTTTCATAGAGTGCTGCTTTCAGTTGGTCTAAATGGGAGCAGTACTTGTTGGAATTAATCGTTTGGTTTTCCAGAAGGAGCTCATAATAGAGGACTCCCTTCCAGTCCCACGATGCACACAATACATCACCTTCTTTGGATGAAGACCAGCCTTTGGTGTGATTGGTAGTGGTTCATTTCGCTTGCCCCACGATCTCTTGCATTCCACATGACTGTACAATATCCACTTTTCATCCCCCGTCACAACTTGTTTTAAAAACAGAACATTTTCATTACGTTTCAGTAGAGAATCGGACACGGAAATACAGTCAAGAAGGTTTTTTTTCACTTAACTTACGTGGAACCCAAACATCAAAGTGATTAACATAACCAAGCTGGTGCAAATGATTTTCAATGCTTGATTTGGATATTTTGAGTATGTCGGGTATCTCCCGCATGGTATAACGTTGATTGTTCTCATTGAATGTATCAATTTGATCGCTATCAACTTCTACTAGTCTACCTGACCATGGAGCATTGTCCAGCAAGAAATCTCCACAACAAAACTTCACAAACCACTTTTGACACATTTGATCAGTCACAGCACCTTCTCCATAAATGCAAAAATCTTTTTTTGCGTTTCAGTTGCCTTTTTACCTTCCTTGAAATAATAAAGCATAATACACTGAAAATGTTGCTTTCTTATCCATCTTCAATATTAAAATGGCTACACAAAAATTCACCAATTTTGATGTTTTTTTGTAAATGCACGCTGATGTGACAGCTGTCACAATACAATCTAACAAAACTGTTTCAAATGAAGTTAAAGACAGCTAAGAACTACTAGAGCCATCTTACTGTAAAAAAGGAACAAACCTTTTAGCCAACCCAACAGAATTTAGGTTGCTTTGCTTTGTTCATTCTCTGATTAAAACCCAAGCCTTAAAGTGTTTTAATGTCTACTCAACTACATGAACCTCAGCATGTGATATATTCTGATGTGTTCAAGGGTCAAATATTAAATAAGCAGGAAAATAAATCAGACACTCTGCACATACACTTTGACTATACACTATAGACTATATTTACCTTTTTCTAAAAATGTAAGTATAAGAAGTGTAAATAATATTTTAAGAACAGATAAATCTGAGTAAATAGATTAAACTATGAATCCTAATTGGTGAGACCACGATATTTCACCTATATTCCTAATATGGCATGCAATTTAGGTTTATAGGTTGAGGGTAAGTCTTAGCCAGTTGCATGTTATGTCCTTAGAGCAAAAAAGAATATGAATTAAATTATCTTAGGCCAGTGCCTTTTCCAGTCTGTCAGTTCCCGATCTATAAAATAAGGAGGGTAGACTAGGTTGCAGACTGCTTTATAGAGCCTAGAAGCCAAGTCTCCAAGCCTTCTACCTCTATTTTTTTGAAATTAAGAAAAATTTTATTTTATATTGCAGTATAGTTGATTTACAATGTTGTGTTAGTTTTAGGTGATTTAGCAAAGTGATTTAGTTATACATATACATATATCCATTCTTTTTCAGATTCTTTTCCCATATAGGTTATTACAGAGTATTGAGTAGAGTTCCCTGTGCTGTACAGTAGGTCCTTGTTGTTTCATCTATTTTATATATAGTAATGTGTATATATGTTAATCCCAACCTCCTTATTTATCCCTCCCTCCACCTTTCCCCTTTGGTAACCATAAGTTTGTTTTCTAAGTCTGTGAGTCTATTTCTGTTTTGTAAATAAGTTCATTTGTATCATTGTTTAGATTCCACATATAAGTGATATATGATATTTGTCTTTGTCTGACTTACTTCACTTAATATGAAAATTTCTAGGTCCATCCATGTTGCTGCAAATGGCATTATTTCATCCTGTTTTATGGCTGAGTAATATTCCATTGTATATATGTACCACACCTTCTTTATCCATTCATCTGTCAATGGACATTTAGGTTCAAGCCTTCTACCTCTGATTAAGGCAGAGCAGATCTGCTTTTATCTGTTTAATTTTCAACTTCTACAAATAATTTCCTTTAAGAAAGAACTCGGTAACTAAAAACAAGTTGAAAATGACCAGACAAAATGATCTCCTAGGTCTCTTCTGATATTAATTTCATGATGAAATGATTTCTTTAAGTTCCGAAATTCTAAATAGCAAAATCCTATATAGCAAATCTGTTCACCTAACTATGTACGTAAGAAGAAAATTCATGTGACGATGTGGGCTTGATTTATTGTCAGAAATATATTCAAATAGAACTAATGTTTTTACCTTGTGAAAATGCCATCCACAATTCCAATTGTTGCTTCCTTTGCCGGAACATAGGAGCCAATCTGAGCCATGATAGTAATCAATGCAACTTGCTTTATGTAGGAGCTCTTTCCACCCATGTTTGGTCCAGTAATTATCATTACTCTCTCTGAGTCCCCCTAGAAAATTAAAAAGCAATTTCACTTATTGTACTAGAGGGGCTTCTATGTAATAGCTACAATTTATTCCATAAATGAGGATGCATTAGGCAAAAGATTAAGGTGTGGTGTTTAAATATGTCACCCATTAAGTACCACAAAGGGAAAGA